AACTATTAAGATGTGATGTACAAACTTTGTAAGGTATTGGTTTAATAATTTAACGTTTTGTTAGAAGAGATTATGACCCTACTACTTTAAAAAAATACTGCATACTTGATGTTCAACCCTAGGGCACTACGATTTCCACTTTCGATTGCATCTGACGGAATAAGCGGAAGACAATGATGGACTAATCTAAAAACCCATTGGGACTGAATTGTCTTATTTTTTGTCTTCTGCATTGCTTCGTCGTAGGTGATATTCTTGCTGCTCTGTCCTCCTTAAATATATTGAGTGCTTTTGTTACGGTCATTTTGATTTCCGATTTATATTCATCTACATGAGCATTTCTGTGTTTTACTTATTTTCACCTTTTGTAACCATAATAACTGTTAAAATTTCGCTTGGCGGGAATTCATTCCTTTACACAATCTCATTGAAAAGTAACATGTTGAGGATAAGAGTGGTGTTTGGTGCATCATTATTGGGTTTAAACTCCCAAACCGTGCTTATGCTGTTGACCGTTCCAAAGCGAAACCCCTCTGTATGCCTCAGATGTATGTCTTTTTTATTGTTACATACAATTGTGGTAACACTTTTGTGTCCCTTCTTGTTTATTTTTGTCTTCGGTATGTGACTTTGTTAACTTGCTCTGTTATGCTTGTTCCGGTTATAAAGTTGCAATGAAGTTTTGTTTTCCATATCAGCAATGTCAACAATTAATTAACGCATATTTGATTATCAAGATATTTCTTACACAACTATTTCTAAGATGTGATGAAAAGTAGCAATTCGTCTAAATGAATATAAAATAAGCATAACCATGTAAAAGATATATAATGATATTAGATTTATTTGATGTGTTCAGTGTTACTATTAGAAATGATGCAGACTTGTTTAATGTTAAGTTAATCACTAAATGTAATTTACAAAGCTTACATGTTGTTGTACATAATTATATATAATATGTTTTCTATTGATATGAATGTCATGTTTATATGATAAGGTTAGCAATTAAGTCAGCTCGAAGGTCTCTTTGCAACTTAACATGAATAGTCAAATCACTTTTGAAATTGAACTTTCGAAGTTTCAAAATCCAAAATGAATGATAAAGATTTGTTACATTTATTAAATCTGCAATTGATGCGAAGGGACTTTATTTTTAGGATGTGTGTATAAATATATGGCAATGCGTTTATGTATTAAAATTCAATTAATTTACAACAAATCTTGCATAAATGGCTCATGTAATTTATGTTTTGTTTTTGTATGTATGTACATGTATATGTGTGTATGTATGTTATATGTATATATAATAGATCTATATAATGGTTCAAAGATCAATTTTGATATGAAAATTATTATTAACTACTTAATTATTATGTAACTACTTAAGAATATTTTCGGCTGGTATTTACTTTATCAATCAAAATTGATCTTCTCCAAACTTTTTTTTTTCATGATTGTTGATATTATGTATATATGTTTATGTCATACACTGTTCGTTATTGTGCATGATTTATGTCCGCATGGGCTTTTAAGCCTATTGGAATAAAATAAAATGTCTACTGTCTACTGTCTACTGTTTTAATACTCTCAACTGTGTACTCATACAATATTCATCTTTACATTCATTGTAAAAGTCATCAAATGGTTTACTTTTGATATTCTGTAAACCCCGGCTACGTTACGATAATTGATAATCCGTTATATGGTATTTCTTCAAAATAACTTCAATCGAGTTGAACCCAAGAGTCTAAATGTTATATGTGTAGTTAAATGTCCGGAGATTTTGGATTTGATAAAATTTCCAATCTTAACTTTGTTGACTTCTATTTCGTGTTTTGTGTTCTGATGTAATGTGTTTTATTTTTGACCATGCAGCCATCGAGAACTGACCAAAACCTCCCTATACATTGTATATATATTATTGTAGCTAGTTCTTTTGAATAGACAAGTCTATTAATGGCGAACGAATCTTATTGTCCCTATTATAGTCAAGATAACTTTCAAATGCGAAAATGTACTCGATAGAATTGGATTAACTAGTAAAAAGTATATATGTTTAATTGATAATGGTGGCAAAGCTTAAACATTTTTCTTACGAACATAACTTCAAAAGTTGCAATCACGTTTATTATTCAATGATTTTATACATTTGACATTGTATTTAGTGTAAATTTAAGTTATACATACAGCAACAGTGACAACACATGCAACACAACAATCAAATTAATACAGTTTAAAGTTTAAAACATCTTGCAATGTATTCAATGATAACTGCATGTGTGAAACAAGGACATAAACACATCACATAGATTTATTAATGAAATGTCCAGAGAGTTTACAGTCTCATTGTCTAGTATTTTCAGTTTGTATTTTCGCATGAACAATTTCGAAAATAAAGAACTCCACCTTATCACCGTGCACAATGTGTACTAATAAGCAAATAAGGTGCTACTTCAAAACACAACCGACCGGCGTAAATTCCACTGTGACTTTCAAAAAAAAAATCAATTAATATAAGTAAGTCTAAATTGTTGAAAAGTTATGCACCGTGATATGCAAGGGGAGAACCTTATATTGATTTAATGCTTCCGATAAGACAAATGATATATGCAACAATATAATTATTATGAAGCTGTTAATTATAATATTAAATTTACATTTGAAACAAATTAGATTAAAATAGGTGCCTCAATCTTTGACCTCTATCTAGGGAATATTTCATTTTTGTCATGATTAAGCAACGCAATAAATGAAAAATAATTCTGCCTCAGTCATATGAAAAGTCAGACGTGAATTCCATTAAAACTCACACTATCATTTAAATCACACACACATAACCGTGTGATAAATAGAATGTTGTTGATAAAAACCTAAACTCGTATAAATAACTGTTATTTCCAAATGGAAATGACAGATATGCTGTCGATAATACATTACTGCTAATGACTTTCTGACTAGCAAAGCATTAAACATTTTACCAAAACAATTAAGCGAACAATATTCAGTATTGTCACGACAATAACTAATCCCATAAGATATAATCAATCATTGATAATTGTTGATAAATGTGTCAAAATTCTAGTTCAGAGGTATATGAAAATGCAATAGAAAAGAAATCATATCCAAAAGGCAGAAACGCATTATTCTAAGCATGTTTAAAATCATCTTAAGGATTACAAACCAGCCCTCATGGAAATTCTAAATATAAAATATATAGTTATTTGTTTTCCTTCTGACCTTTTTCCTGGAAATCTGTGATCCAGGGGTAGCACGCTCGCTTAGGATGTGGGAAGTCAAGACAACTGAATATTATTGTCTTTTTAGTGATTTTGACGTTTTTCCAAAGAAATAGTGTGGTTGTGTTTAGAATTAAAATAGACAAAATGTACATAAATTATATCTTAACGCAAGTAAGAAACAAAGATGAAGCAAAATTCCGTATATTTATCAAACACAAATTGTTATAAGCAAAGAAAGTAGTTAACAAAGTGTTTTGAATTTTTAGAGCCTGTTTATTTATATATCTAAAGATGTTAATTAAAGTTTTATTAGATTAACTACATATGAACGCTGGTTTTAGTTGTGTCATTTAGAGTCTCTGAAAATGGCAGTCTATTTTACGTGCATCTTATTAATTTTAGATGAAAAATAAATTGTAAAAAGCAATGATCGCTTGTTACTTAGTCACTTTGTAAATTGTATATTTCAAAAATGAAAACAAAAACATAGATAATTACATATGCAAAAATAATTATTCTATAAATGATTTGGTGAAAAAATCGGATGGTAGAATTTTTTTTTTGAAAAGCTGTTACCTATTGAAGATCATTAGGGTTCGTAATCTTTAAAAGTAAACACAAGGAGTTCCGTAAAAAGTAACGAACGATATACAATAGCAACTTACACAAAATCGATTTGTCTTACAATTGTCAAATATGTAATTTGTTATAAGAACTTTTCATTTTAAGATAAGATGACATTTATCACAATATATCAACAACAAAAAACTGTGAACGTTGACGAAATAATTCTAGTATTACTAGGTGGCAATGAATCTAATTACGTCAATTTTTTCATCTTCAACTCTTTTAGACCAATAAGAAACTGCAATGCCTTGTACATAATAATGTTATAAAGCAGAAAAATATAAGACAGACAAATTTAATTGAAATGTTTCCGAACTATTATTCATTTTAATATTTGGTATCAATATCTTTGATATGGATATGCATTTCTTTTCTGCTAACAGTCGTTAATTTGGTTGACTGTGTAGAGGTGTCCACATTTTCATTTGTGTTTGTATAAATCTGGGAACGTAGCATGTTCAATGTACGTTTATTTACAAAGGAAATCATTATGAACACACCTTGTCCGGCATTAAAGACTATGTAGAAATATGCAAACAAGAGAACGTTAGTGAACTGATATAAGAATCCAAATAGCCATGTGATACCGGTCAAAGTTGACAATTTTGCGAATATCAGTAAATTATGGCGTTCGTGGCTGCTGTTATGTGCCATGTCAGGTATTCGAGACACACTCGATACAACATAACTAAACATGCCTAGGTTAGCCATGATAACAAGCCCAAGAGGAATAGCAACAAAATAAAGTATCATATTGGGCCCTTTAATGTAACAGTTTGAACCACCATAGCTAAAACCTTCAGAATCCATGTCTGTTGTGATCGTAACTACTATATAAGAAATTACCAAAATAGCTGACAGAGATTCCGTAAAGATTATATGGTAACCAAATTTTTTCATATTGTGTTGAGAAACAGATTTTTCTTTTATCTTAACAAAAACATTCATCATGTGAAAAGTAGAAATGAACATCCAAAAGAAACTGGACAACAGATTAAAATGCAGGAGAATTCCAATTGTTGAACAAAGCCAAGATTGCTTTATATCTGTTATAGCTATTGTTAATGCCAAAGAATGTGCAAAGAAAAGATGAAAAATAAGGGCCATGTTATTCAATCCTGGCACTGTCCTTAATCTTGGAAGTACACAGTAGATAATAAAGGTAAATACAAGAGATATGATAGAAAATACGAGACAAATTATGGTCAATACAACAAGCTCGTCATAACGGCTACTGACAACAGCATTTACTGATGGTAATTGTGAAAAGTACTCATCGCTACATACATAAAAACTTCCATCTTGATCTGAAGACAAAATATTTGAAAATGTTATATCAGGTATTGGGTTTGGTTTTTCTGATGATACGTCGTATTCAAGAAAACTTACTTTCTTGTTTGATAAATCTATTTCAAATTCGTCATTACTAAGTTTGATACGAGGACAGAATGGTTTTGGTTGTACTAACAAATCTGGTTCACATTTTGGTTCCGGTGACAAAGGTTCAAATGGAAAGGTCAAAAAGCCAAATCCATTTTCAGTTTGCCCGTTAATTATCAGTTCATGTTGCAGTGAGTCGAGAATAAGCTCGTTTAACTTTGTTGTAAATTCCTCTTTCAGGGTGTAGTTCCTAGAATATGGAGGCATTTCTATATCGTCTATGGAGTGTTGAATCGTATATTGTGCATAATGATTACTTGTAGCGAAAATCTTCTCCATTTCCTCTAAAGTCGCAGAACTATTTTTTAAACCATTGAACTGTATGTCAACAATAACGGCTATGTAGGAGACGAAAGGTAGAAAATTTGATAAATTATATCTATGCATTAACGAAATCGTATCCTCCAGAGTGCAGTTCAATTTCACGTAAGTATTAAATGAACATATGTCTGCAAAACCAATTGTGGTGAGCATGATATACAATTTTGATGATATATCATCGTACATAGTCATCTCAATTGACAGCAGGTTATTCCACTTGCTATATTTTGCAATGTGGGTAGGCACAAGTTTAAAACGTAGTCCAAATACCACACCATGAAGAGAATAATCTATTTCTTTGTAAACTGGTGAACACGTGTCCTTTAACAAATGCATTCCCTCTGGGCATGATAGAGACCTGCATTTCTTCTGAAATTAATAATTTGACAAAATCTCACTTTTTTATCAAATATTGATTATAAATTAATAAATTTGATTCATTTTGAGCCTTTATTTACTAAGTTTTTCACTTTGAATTTTATATTAGTTTAGATATAGATGCGGATAATTCGAAAAAGTTGAAAACAAATAAAGGAGAAGTAAAAGCATTAGTTTACCTTGTATGGATCATATCGTGAGCCTGATGAACATGTTGTCATACCTATACTGCCTGATTCCGTTGAACGTTCTAAATTATTAAAATCCAGTAGAGCTACAAATGAGCTACCACCGCCATACACGTCTTCCATCTGGCATATATCAATGATATCATTCATGCTATACCCATTGCATATAAAACAGTGTATGTTTTTGAAATTATTATACGTTGATGAGTATGAATGGCATGCTGATTCTGTGTAAGCATTGTATTTTTTCCATGTACTTGTCACATTGCATCTGTCTATTTCATCTCCGCAGATGCTGACAACGTTCGATGGCGTGGAAGGTGAAGGTACAAACATAACTTGACAAAAACGTTCCTCCGAAAGTTTCAGCATAATTTCAGATACATGTAAAAGCGAAAACTTCTTTTTATTCTCGCATTCGACTTTAGTATCCCAAAAAATCAGATCATAGCGTGAAGCTGCATTACAAATTGCACAGAAAATGTTTTTAAATGTCACATTTAATAAATTTGAAGAAACGGGCATGAGTGTTTTAAAATCACCTTTTTCAAAATCAAAATCATGATACTCTCTTAAACATTTAGAAGTAACATCATGATCTATGTAACTTGCCGGACAGTTGCTGACCATCTTATACGATTTCCCATTTAATGCTGTTATACTGTAAGGTCGGAGTTGAGCGTAAATACATTGTTCTTGCGCATTTTTCAATTCTTTAACTTCTAATTTATCCAAAAATCGTTCTGGTTTATCCGGGCAACAGTTGTTTCCGCAATTTTCGTCACACGTACACCACCCACAGCAGGGATACTCTAAGAAACTGTTACGACGCGATACGTTTTTCTGCGCTTTATCGAAGCACATATCTGTATAAGGACAAAGTCTTTTAAAGTCCTCAACGCTTTCTTCTTGAGCAGATCTTTCGTTTACACTTGCCTTAGATTCTCTGATACATTTTATTGCCAGTAAAATTGTTAAATACATTATATATCCTTGTAGCCTTGTCATGCTTCAATTTTAAGTGTATTCACAATTTTCTAAAATTACTGTTATGTTATTCAAGTATGAAAATCCTTATCTAAATCGATAATTATTCTCCGAACTTGGGTAAGCAAATGGTTATAATGTCTCCGAGCGAGACTTATAACTCTGCTTAAGGCTAATCGGAAACGGTCATTTATTCTTCTAGTTGATAAATCGTCCAATCAAATAAAAGAATGTCACGACAGCGTATAGAAATGTTCGACACAAAAACATCATTTCAAATCTATTATAAATACGGATTTTCTAAAATTTCTTAACTAAAATGATTCAAGATTGTAAAACTGACTGTCTAAATTGTATCCACTTTTTCTTTTAAGTAAAATTTCCACATGAAGAGATTTTTAGAGATCCGATAAAATGATACCTTTTATAGATAGTTTTTTATAGTTGACTATTAATACAAAGCACGACAATTTCCAATTATCATATCATTGATAATAAATGGAAAAAAATAAAAAATCACAGTAAGATAGCTGATGTTAATAGATCACGTGTTCTGCTACATTAAAGGTGTTGACCCTGTAAAGATCAGTTAACCTGTTCACGTGATCATTAATTAATAATATAATCTGCTTTGTATTCCTATCCAAATCCACACTGTAAAAAAGAGTCTACTTCCTATTATCGTATACAGGAAAGCTTCAAGTTAAAATACCGGTATAACGGCTCCCTAGGAAGAGATAGGGATTGGAATAGAAGGGATTTCATTCGGGGGACATGGTACACGGTTGGCAAGATGTGGCACAATGATCCGTTTTATTCACTGAGGGGAATCCTTTGTTATACAAAGCAGACAAAACACTCGTAACAATATGATATTCAAAAGACTTTTTCCTCCCATATGATGGATCATGCAATGACAAAAATTAGTCTTGGAAAATATCTTCAAGCTAGCGGATCAAGTCTAGGTCACAAATAAGAAAATGCCGCCGGGCGGCGTCTGTTTCTCCAAAAAAATCGCCATATCGGCCGGCGTCCGACCGGCGGCAGTGACTATCAGACGGCAGCAGCTAAACATTTTGCTCATCGGGCGGGCGCCTTCGAGTTTTAAATAATTCTTAAAAGCTAACGGCGACCGGGCGATGATTTTTTGATCGGGCGATTTTTTGTTCTACTAAAACACCGTCCGATTTAAAAGGCGTTCCGGTGGACATCGGCCGGGCCCCGCCCGGTGCCTGAATAGAGACAAGTAGTCAAGCTATTATCGCCCGGTACCTGGACGATTCATGTACAGGCATAGTGCGGTCATCGTTTTGTCATCCGGCGACCGGGCTGCTTGTGTTTGTTGTAATTTCAGCTTGAAGAAGTTGTAATTGCCTTAAAAATATTTTTGTGAATTTCTTTTGAATACTAGTAAACATGATTTTTTTCTTCAATGTCCATGTGAATGTCTAATTGATTTTCGCCTTCTACGGCCTCGATACTGGCCGTTGGTGACTCGGTGTCAACAACACGGACCATCTCCTTGGCCTTCCCCTTGGCTTTGGCAGCCGACTTCTTTGCTGGCATAACTACAACTGGCTGATTTATAAAGGATGTCATTAAATGTAAAGTCATTGTCGCCCGGCGCCTTCGCGGCAACCGTCCGATTCACTTTTAAATCGCACCGCTCGATTCGTTCAATTTTTTCTGTAAAATCCATTCGGCAAAAAATCGCCCGACGACTGTTTCATTCATGACCACGCAAGATCGCCCGGCGTCCACGACATTAAAAAATCTGCCGATTTTATAAAAATCGTTTAATCGGACGACGCCCGTTTTATTTGTGACCTAGGCATAATGAATAATGTAGTTATTTATCAAATGGCAACAAGGGTTGGTGGTGATTTTAGTAGTTTACCTTTGGGAAAACGACATTTAGCCAGACCAGAAATAACAACGATTGTATGATTCTTTTTTATCATTATAATTTTAATGAAGTCTAAAAAATGCTAAATTATGTCAAAATTCCAGTTTGACAAGCTATTTGTATATCAAACATATGCAATACAACTGACTTTATATTTAATGCTTATAGTACATTTAGAAATTATGAGAAGACAATCTTTGTAACGGATATCTATAATGAGAGATTTATTTGAAAGTGCATCTATTACAAAATATAAAGAGCAGATTAAACTTTATAAGAGATGGAAGGTTAGCGTTATTCTCGAAGCTTACATGAATTTCTTTATAAATATCTAGTAACTGATATCCTAGATATTCATGGATTTGAAGTTAACTGTCGAATTCTTTTCCAGATATTTTTATTTCTCAATATATGAATAATATACATTGTGTGGCTGAAGAAATAAAATAACTTTTAATACGCTTCTTACAAAGTTTCTCTCTTTTTCCCAAATTCTTTACAGATCTATTTCTTTATTCATTTATTTTACTTATATTTTTTTATCTCTCTTGCAGTTCTTTTTAAATTATAATTAGTTACAACACATGTTTCTACAATTATATATCGTTTATAAGTGAAGTTTAATTATCTTTCTACAGTGTTAAACCACCGAGAATTACACTGTTATGATAGACCTAGTTCTGGTAATAAAACAAATATGTGTACGGAATATCGAATGAGTGTTATTCTGTTGTTTGCTTGTATAAAGTTGTATCACCATTCGCATGTGTTATATAGTACTGCATATATGTTATGTTTCTTGTTTTGATAAACAAGTTAGTGTTTTTGTCGTATCTTGTTGTGTTTCCTATAACAATATCTGTTTGCACTGTTCAATTATAAAAATAGTTATGTAATAATGTAAAGCTGAAATGAATAAGTGAATATCACACAAATAGCACAAATCAATAGATAGAAATTGAAATACTTATGTTAAAAAATCTGATATAAATTTATATGAAATAAAGCAATAGGTAAATATGATTTTGTTTGAAATTTGCAAAATAAAATGTTATTACATGCGTAAAATTAGTGCACAAGATTATATTTACCACATTCATTCTAGAAAACAGTTTGATATCAATTTTGAGTGCACAGGAATACAATGATTAACAAGAAAAGCATTGATTCAAAGCATCAAAGGCGACGCCAAAATATATAGGATCAAGAATTGCACATATAACTACTTAATTAACAAAGATGTGTACTTTATATCAATACCATTACATTGTGACCTTGAGGCTAGGACCCTGTTTAAGTTGACACTTGAACCAAAAAGAATGGATTCTGTCTTTGACAATAATTAATAGATCTAGCCAATATTTTTGTCAGAATAAGAATAGAAAAGTCACGAAACATGAATTTAGGCCTTGTATCTAATTTGTTACGTAGGTGGAGATAGTGTATTATTATATTCAGATTATGCGATCTTTTTGGTGTTCATATCTCTTATTCGTATCATATTCATACATAATAAAACAAAGTATAACTTTGTTCAAATATTAATGGAAAAACCTCGTGGCCAAAAATAAACAAAAACGTAATATCTGAATTTAATTTCATGTCGAAGTTTTCCATTTTCTGTCTCACATTGTAAACCCATCCAAAGGCATCGCTAGCTGGAAGTGCTGCGTAACTTTATATACTTGCTACTCCTAGTTAACCGAAGTGCATATGTATAATGTATAAATTTATAACACCTGACACATTTAACCGAAAGGCCTGCAAACTATGATTTAAAACAAGTAATAGATTTAAAGGCAGCCGAAACAATGTTGTTGTAGCAGGTGGGACCTGGATTATAAATCAAGATTGCAGAGTGTTTTGGTGTCCTTTCTCTTTTGTATCATAGTCAAACATAAAAACACGTTCCCTGTTGTCACAATTTTAAACCCCGGGAAAAAGTAACAAATGATCGAGCATCTGAATATGATATTTCTGCCGCTTTCCCTTTCTCTGCCGTCACAATATGTAAACCCCAGCAAAAAATGAGCCAATCAACGGGCATGATCTGGAGTGCGGACCTGCACTCCAGTTACCGCACTGTGCATGTATATGTATACGATTTAACTCTGACACTTTTTCAACAGAAAGGTCCCCAAACTTTGATACAATGCATGGATAGAGTTCAAATGCACGGGAATACAATAATTAATTACAGAGCCTTTAAACGATAAATCGTAATAATGCACTTGATCGGCCTATCTGTTTGATAGGAGAATAGTGTATTATTTTATTATATCGTATACGGTCATATATACGGTTATACCTTAATGACAACAAAATAATGTTGATAGTTCTACCGTGTTTATTCGTATCCATTAATATCATTACATTAATAAATACCCAAATATAAACTTTGTTAAATATTTCATATGCCGTAAATTATAGCATGTGGCTTTTACTAATAATATTAAATTAAAAACTAAAAAAATCTATTATTATTCTGCAATTTAATGTTCAAAATGATACAAAGAAGTTTTCATTATTCTGTCTACACATTTATTACATTCCTACACAAAGCATCGTCATAGCTGACAAAAGTTATTATATTCTAGCTCCGCTTGCGTGAAGCTTAATATGACGATTGACTAGTGTCTCTTCTCTTAAACCCGGAAGTTTAAAAAATGCTATTTAAATGGTATAACTTTATTTAAATTGATAACGTTTTACCGTGAATACATTAAGTAAACGTTTTCAGAAAATAGAGTTATCAAACGTTGTTTAGTTTGTCATATGACATGTTTAAATTTAAAGTCATTTAAAGTTAACCTAAGGATTTTAAAATTGTGAAGCGTAACAATGGCAGCAGGTGGGACTCATGGAATATTTGATGACGAATCTTTGGAAAGACTTAAAAAGGTGTGATGTTTTATAAATACTTTGCTATAGAAATAAATAAATCATGCATGCAAACATGCATGTAAACATGCAACGTTTTACACACTCTATTAACATACTTCTGTAGATGTACATAACTATCAAGTTAGACACAGTTACGTAAATAAGAAGTATGTGTTGTTGCATTCATTAGACATTATATTTACCGCTTAATTATTGCTATGATTAGATTTGTGTCGTTTGGATCAATATTCGTTGACAACGTAGGCATTTTATGTAGTACATTGATTTAATTTAGTTTATATTTTCGGTTTTTAGCATGACGTTGTGCAGTTTGTATTGTGCAGTTTAAGTATAAATGTAAAGACCTGTTTATTGATCAAACTTCATATCAATCGACAAGTTTCGACTCTTTTCGTCTTACTTCGGTGTTGTACCTCGGCCCTTTCCGTGAAACTTCGGATAATTATTAATATTGGTTGATTGGTTTTGTTCATAAACTTACACGTTAAGAAGATTTAAATAATGATGAACTGTATTTTATAAAATGGTGTAAATTTCAACTTCTGTACATAATTTTTTTGCTTAGTTTTATGGTTTTTACATATCTATAGTGTAGAGTAACATTGAATGATATTTTGTGATTTTTCTGCTCCTTCATCAGTTTATAATGTTTCTGCTTGTTGGATCTCATTAATTGTAAATCATCATAATAAATAAAACATTTTTTTGCCTCCATATATTGCCTAATTAAATTTCCTAGTTACTTGATTACTATGCAAAAACTGAATTTGTTTCCAACAAAACTACACAATTGTTCCTGTGATCATTACAATTGATCGGGCATTAGTTTGCAACCTCATCAATGGATTCTAATATTCATGTATTCAAATGTTAACAATACATTCGACAGATATCAAGAGTTATGTTTCTATCAACAGTTACGCATTTACTCAACAATTTATTTATCTTACTAACATCTTAGTACTTTGTTTGTTTGTTTGTTTAATTTTTGAATAAGATAAGATAATAAAATATAATTATATGTTTCTCTGAGCATTTTGTGTTGGTTAGATATAAAGATAGGTAACATTATATATTATAAGCATGTGTATAACTAAATAAATAAACTATAATAACATACAGCGGAATGCTTTACACTCATCCCTTAAACTATAGCTTAGACCAAATGGATCCGCTATGTCTAAAAATTTAACTAGTTATACATATATTTTATTATTATTTTCCAGTTATTTATCTTACGGGGTAGATATTTTTTATTTTCTGGATAGAACGGAACACTTCAGATATTTTCCTTGCGTCCAATTATTACCTGATTAGGTTCAGTGGTTATCAGTGTTTTTTTGTTTGTTCTGTTACCAGTTTTATATTCGATATCCATCTGTTTATCTAATTTATGTAAGTAAGTTATTAAGATAAGTTGTATAACTATCTAATTTGGCAATATTAATTACAGCAGAATACGTTGGACATATCCCTCGCAGGGGCATGTAAGTTTACCAAAAAATACATGGAAGTGCACGAAACCTCCTATTTTAAGTCTTCTGCATACCATTTAAACTGAAGAGCTGATATTCGAGCTAGCGTAACTAAACATACTTTTAAAATGCATGGGTCAAACACCACTAAAATCATTTTACTTAGTAACTGAAACACAAAACATATACTTGCCACTGAAAATTGAAATATAAAATGTAGCAACTTTACAAATATTTAGAATCTCAAATATCCACTTTAATTTCAGAATTGTCTCTTATTTGTAAATTTGACCTCGGCCAATTCGAAACTATCGCACCAAAACTGTGTACTGCTTCCATATTATGTACTAACTGCAACTGACAGTACACTATCCTACAATTTGTTCAATGTGAAGTTATACTATTACAGTTAAATAATGCTTTGGAGTTGATGTTTAGATATTTTTCAGATCCGCCGACTTCGTGAACTTTTTCATGGTAGATTTCCTGACAGCCAGTGTGGAACCTTGCTCAGGCATTTTAGATGGGACTTATCAGTGACAGTTTCTTTTGTTTTAGATGGTAAATAAATACTTTATTGTGATGAATAAAAATTTCTTTCCTTCCTAACTGATCTTATGGTAATCATACATATTTAGTTATAAAACATGAAGCACAATACGAAAACATCAGATCTCATTATTTTGAAACTCAAAATCAAAATCATGTGATATTGTACAAGCCATTTATATCGTTGATAATGATATCAATAATGATAACAGAAACATTAGATAATAATAATGTTACTGATAAAATAACCTTATTTTCCATTGATTAAGTAAAACTTTTAACTTAAAATTGAATCAGTTTGTATCACTTATCGTTGCTGTTTTAATGTTTTGAAACTGTAAATTTATTGTTACAGAAGAACCGAGGACTATTCGTGAGATTATTGGAGAGGACGAGGTTTGCTTATATTCTATTAACTTTTTTTCTAATCCATGTGTCTAACGATATATTATTTCATCAAGACTTTCAACAATAATACTAAACGTGTATGCCAATATATGAGTAACTGAAATGCCTGAATAAATTTAAATTCAGAATATTTCGTATTTAATTTCACATTAACTAAAGATAATTGAATATTGATTGAGTGGTTGATTTTTAGTGGCAGATCGTTACTGTGCGACGAGACAATGTCATACGGGACACAGCTAGGAGAAATGAAATTGGTAACGAGATCAGACAATTCGGGTGTAAAAATTGTGATAGCATGTGGTGGCGAAGAGTTCCTATTAGAAAACCAGTTCGTTTTCGTTATCTTATATAAATCAATGAATTTCATGTAAACAAAATCATAATCTTTTTTCATAAAACAATTTTGTCGCTCAATCTATAAGTTAATAGGTACTACAAAAGTCGTACTACGCTTTCTTTATTTTGAATTTGTATACTTTTTCTTCTTAAGATTTAAGTCATTAATTCTTTTAAAGTTTTTGTTCATATCATTTAACTTTTCTTTATATGTTAATAGTCAGCATAATGTATTTTGTCAATTAAGGTTGCACGTTGCAATATGTGTAAAAGGAAACGGGATGCAATACCAGTTGACCAGGAGTACGGATGGGCAAGATTCCAGTGTTCGTGCTCTAATGAATTTCAGTACGTGAATTTCTACCTGTTTTTACTTCGCTGTATATCGAATACATGTACTTATATATCACACAGCAACATTCTTTGCACTGTGATGTAATAACTATGAATTCTTCATATTACAAAATATGTTTTTAAAACATAACGGCGATTTCATCATTTTAAGCGTTTCTGGTTTTAAAATATCAGCTGAAGCCTCTTGTGTTGCTATTTTATATAACCTTGTATGAAACAACATCTTAATTTAGCAAGGTGCTAAATAAATAAAGCATTTTACCCAACGATCTTAATCGTTTGTTTGATTTTACGATGCACCAACACAGTATAGGTCATATGGCACTGGAACAGGAAATATGAATTTGGCTAACCTCGGGTGTTACAAACGTCAAAGCAACACAAGGGATGAAAACAACCTCGCCTTGTTGAGCTAAGAGATGCTTAGACTCCAGATATTCGAACCCATTTAGTTAATTTACAGGCACTCGCATTATAGGAAACGTTTCGCTAACAATCCGTTATATTGACATTTTTAGTGCATTTGGAATGATGGACATGAGGCAGTTGAACATAGGACTAACTGGAAAAAGCAAGTGTTTGTGCTGGAAATGCAGGGTTAATCTTTGTGAGCCAATCTGCATCCTTAAACCATTGAAAAGAGAAGCCAGGCGGCGTCCAAGATATGCACATGAATGTACGGCCGCCAATTGTTATAACAGATGCTATCAACGTCAACGTAAGTGCATCATTTTAATGTTTAAAACAAAATATTTAGAAAACAAGTTATTTATCTTTTTATTTGAACTAATAAAACGATAATTAAGATATGCATATGCATGACAGATATATATGATGTAAGTGATGAGTACAGCACTAACATTATATAATACATATATCAGTTATGTTACATGCTATGCTTATTATGACAGGTAATGTACTTGTGATGGATTTAATAAAATTGAAAAAAGCCCTTTTCAAGTAAAGAATATATACATCGCTGTAAAATAACAAAAATCTCAAAATACATATGACTTTGAAATGAGATACACCATAACGCGGATGATGCATAAATTCTACATGTATTTATGAAAAGATAATTAAATTTATGAATCTTGCAAAGCAGTCCAAGTTACTTTTATGACAAAAGATTATGTGTTATAGATGAATCAAGATTATGTAAACACAATAGTAATAAATAAAAAATTATTTAGTTTTATGTATTTATTTATTTATATATTTTATTCATGGCATCGGAGATCAATTTTAAGATATTGTGTACATTGGTTATGATATGACTATACACAATTACAATATTGCTTGACACACTAGATCTTCTTTTTTGCTTCAGCAAATGAACCTATTGTACCTTATTGTGTACATCCAAGATCGTTGCAATGCCAGGTACCCGGTGACGGTAGTGATGACCACGTGAGCACTGGTTCCACGGTGAAAACGTTCCTGACCCAGGATGATCTAGAATCACCATTTTCACCATACGAACCAAGTCTCGCGGATATTGACGAGACGAGAAGCGAGAACAGCGGTGGCGGCCCTGGTAACCGCAATGGAGATGGAGACAACTATTAAATTACATATCTAATTGGCATTATTATATTGTATTGAGTTGTTTTATTATTAATAAGGGTTGTAAGTAAGTTATATGTTTGATGTAATCAAGCAAAAAATCATGTAATGTAATGCTCTGTTTTTGTTCTTTTCTTTCTGTTTTGGTGTCTTTATATTGGTTTGTTGAATGCTGGTAAGATTGTATGTAAATAATTATACATTGTAGTTTTTATCCGAATTCAATTATTAAACTCAACTGTTTATGTGATTTACAAAATAAATCCTTACAAAAATGACTCATATTTGTGGTTGTTTGGTCCATTTTTCATGTCATCAAAGTAAACAAGTATCCCTGTAAGAATATATATAAGAACATATATACAATGTATAATCAATGGAAATGTTCTTATTGGAAGAAAACATCCAGGTTCTTAAAATCATCGGGCTATTACAAAAAGCTATTTGGTGTGTAAAAATAAGTTTCATCGTGTCTCACTTCTCTTAAATCACTGTCTCACCAAGCAAGTTTGAAGATCATTATAAAAATGTGGCCTAATAATGCTCTAGAACTTTGAGTCGACTCAAACTTATCCCGTTCTCCAACAACGCCCTTAAAACGACTTTAAACGAGAACGCAATAACGTGATGGGCCCGGGAGACGATAGACCGTATAATAGTTTACACTTGTTTCATTTGAAAATTTTTTACTCCTTTCACAGACAAACGTAACTCGGACGTTCTTAGAGCGTCGTTATCCCGTCTACATTAAAATTTCTGTACAAGTTTGCAGCACGTTTTTATCCAGTTCTAAACGTTCAAAATAGGTTTTCAGTACGCTCAACTCGTTTATTGCGTTCTTAAAGCAGTTATAACAACGTCTTCCCCGTTTCCGTTTTCAGTACAATTGGACCAAGAAGGAATAAATAAAGGCCGCTCTTTCATTGGTTCACCATTGAAAAGAACCATGAAAAATCTAGCAGCTGTAAACTACTAAATATTCAATTGATGCATTTTTGTTGGAATAAAAGCAAGAATACAATGAGAAGGTAGACAATAGAGAAGACGAAGAACGTGTTGGATGAGGACCAGTTTGCTTTACCCTCCTCATCTTTCTTAGAGGAATGATGATAACAAATGTCGCCGGTTAGATGTAAACGGTCGAATTAGAATGACTGGCAGAAACATGCTGATGTGTTATAGCCTTTAAGCAAGGACGTGATTGTAATAAAGATATGAACATTAGAAGCGCGATGATAACGTTGTAATAACGTTCTTAACTGTCTACGAACGAAGTTGCAAACTAGTTCATGTGGTATGTTTCGAAATTTAAAATTTTAACACTTTCATGTTTAAATGTTAAATTCTGCTTAAGCCGGTGCTAGGGGGCGTGGACAGTAGTTTGCACTCGACAGTACCGTCCCCGAACATGCTCAATCAGATCGAGCCTGCAACATTTTCGATTTTGCCGTTTTGGACTTTCTTTAAAGGATTCTTAAGTTCTCTATTTAATACAACGTTCAAGGAACGAAGTAGAACAAATGATACAACCGATTGCAGACGACCTTAACTGATTAAAGACGATGTTACCGGGCATTTTAACCAGATTTAAACGGACCTCAAATTGGATAAAGACAGGATGGACGTATCACTAACGCTTTGTGAACTATTTGTAATCACTTTGAAGATATTTTCCGGCGACATGTACACAATGTATACGTTTTACCTAGACAAGAGTCTGTTCAATGATATATTGAGGAACTGGTCAGGCGTGTTCAAAACTAATTTGGTGTGACAGCAACATTACGTTGAAAGGTTTAATTACTTTTTTACAAATATCTGACTTAGACCAAGTAAGCTTTCGGTCGATGGGCCCCATCCGAGCCTGAAAAATACGAGATTGGGGCAATTTGTAATGCAATATGAAGTATATTTTCTAATTTTTATTCTTGTGCTTATGTAATTCAAACTATACCAAAATCCTGTGTGTAGGCAACCGATATTTATTTACTTTTGAATATACCTTACCGAGTAACTTCATATAAAATATGGCTCGTAACTCTTAGTTAAAAGTTTTGAAATACGGTCTTACATAAAAGCTCGAGCAGATCTAGGGAAATCTGCTGTTTTAATGATATTTGTAATATTTATGACAATAATGTTAGTATCTTATACAACTGTTTCAGGTGATATAAATAAGTTCGAAAAAATGCGCACGAGTAATTTAAAGATGCCTGTAAGTCTAATAGAAAACGCTTCATAGTTACTGACAAATACATTCATTAAGTCAATATTATCATTCACAAAGATGCCAGACTTCACTTACCCAGATAGCCTATATCCAGGGATATCAAAAGGGTAAACTCATACGATTCTAAAAAAATAATTGAAAGGCGAATAACTGCCAGAAGAATATCCCATTTGGTTACATCCGACTACAAGAAGGAGCGAGTTAAATGCGCTCGTCAATTACTGGAAATGTTTCCTAAATATGACAGTCGCCTTTTTTCTAATACATGTACATTGTATTTGACTGGTGACGAAAGCTTGTTTCACAAAACTAAACCAGTTCGCAAGTTTGGGCCACCAAAATGTTCGTCGACCGATTGACAAGTTTAAAGTAACTCGATATTGTTTTAAATAATAGTGGAACGGTTTTCTAAAGGCCGTTCTGTCGCATTTAAGTATTAAAGAAATGTTGTGTTAAGGAAAATCGAAAAACATTCTAAACGCTCTTCCTTCGACTGTTATTAAATGTTATGAAAGGCCTGTAATTTTTGCATGACAACGCTCCCGCACACAAAGGAGCTATAGTAACTAACTACTAGTGACTGTCCATATACATCCACTCTATTCTCCTGTGACCTTTTTATCTTTCAATTAAAATCTATAAAAGAAACAAATATGATAATAACCCAAGGAGAATAACAAGATTATACCAATCGCCAGACTGTGTCAGACTGTGTATTTACATACATTCGGAACTTTGCCTGGTTCGGACTAAATGATGTATTTCTCTCCCTTTATCTGTACTACGCCATTTGTTCATATTAAATCACGTATTTGATTATACTCTTGTGTGTTGATCTACATCCATTTTCCTGGCGTGGTGGCAGCGAATTTACGTCCCACGCTCGATAAAGACCTGTGTACGTCATCTCGTAATAGAATTATTACCGTGAACGCAAGTGTATTAAACAAAAACATTGACAATGGCAAATTCTACCCGCGCGCCAAAACAATGGTGCCTTACCAAACATGAAACTGTAAACTCATTTGAAAACTGGAGACAGAACTTAATCTACAGCCTTTCTTTAGACAAGAACTTTGCTCCGTTTCTCGTGGCTGGGCTTAAATGGCAGAAAAAGACCAAAACTGCACCCCACAGAGGCTTTGTGAACGACGGTGAGGATGTAGCCGAAGCTGACAGGAAAACCCGTGAGCAAAAGGTCAACATTCTTGAGTTGATGTTAGGACAGATAGCAAATTTTTGTCCAGTAATATCCAGAAACACTATTGTTAAAAACTCTACCTCCGTTGATGATATTTGGCAAACAATCCGCCTCCATTACGGTTTCCAAATTACTGGTGGCCATTTTATTGACTTTGATTCTATCCGATATGATCCTACAGAGAGACCCGAAGATTTGTTCCAACGACTCACCGCATTTATTGAAGATAGCTTGTTACATCAGGATATGGGCATCAAACACCACGACGAACCGATAACCGAAGATGAGCAGCTCTCTCCAACGCTTGAAAATCTAGTTGTCTTAACATGGCTGAGACTGATAAACCCTGACCTACCTAAACTTGTCAAACAGAGATACGGTACTGAGTTACGAGCAAGAACATTAGACTTTATAAAACCTGAAATTTCGCAAGCACTGGACTCACTTTTAGAAGAGTTGCGTTTAGCAGAGGATGCCAAAACCATGAGAACAACGGTCAGAAAATTTCCACGACAAAAGCCGCAGTCAAGTCCATCTTGGTCTAAATCCAACCAAAAGTCGTGTCCGCTTTGCAAAGCCGCAGGACGTCCTGATCGCCACTTCCTTAGTAAGTGTACTTATTTGCCGCAACAAGACCGACAATTTTTGGCAAGGGCCCGCGCTACATGTATTGATGATATTCCTCTTGATGATTCTGAGTTAAACCATCCCGATGAAGAGTTTCGACAAGTGTCGGTATCTACTAACCGTGTTCAAGTTCGACAGTCTCCTTATCTTGACACTTACTGTGGCCATATTCCGATTCGTTTAACTGTTGACAGTGGCGCCACCGGTAATATGATTCGTGCATCAACTGCAGCACAATTGAACGCAAAAATCACCGCTAGCTCCCAATCTGCTCACCAAGCCGATGGTTCCTCTCCTTTAAACATTGTAGGGGAAACTAGGATAACATTTACACGCGATGATCATAACCTGTATTTTGAAGGGTTAGTTGTCGAACACTTAGATACAGATGTTTTGGCCGGTATTCCATTCATGGAGGTAAATGACGTTGCCACACGACCAGCTCGTCGTGAGGTGTCTATTGGAAATGACCACATATACTACTACGGCTCGCCAAGCACTTCAGCCCCAAATCACGCTATTCGTCGTGCTCACGTCGCACGTGCTCCTTCAACCTCAATTACGCTGTGGCCCGGAGACTTTATTGATGTTATGTTACCGTCTGACATGCGCTCCACAGACAACATCTTTTCGGTTGAGCCTCATACCAGGGACTTGGACAACAACTCTTGGCCGCAGCCATTTTTGGTTTCAAGTTTAGGTGGAAATTTGCGAATACCGAATTTATCAAATGAACCAATGCTTCTTAAAAAAAATGAACATTTTTGTCACGTACGTGCTACTTACTGTCCTGTGGGGAATGAATCTGAATCAAAAGCTCTACCTAATTCAGCAAATGCAAACATGAAAAAGTCAACACATTCCGATCAAGTCCGTGTCGACCCAGATAACTTATTGTCAACAGGTATGAGAGATCAGTTTAAATCGCTACTTATAAAGTATGATGACGTCTTCAATCCAAACTTTAAAGGTTATAATGGTGCATTGGGTCCATTGGAAGCGAATGTGAATATGGGTCCGGTGCAGCCTCCTCAGCGAAAAGGACGATTACCACAATATGCAAAATCTCAGTTATCTAGTCTCCAGGACAAATTTGACGAACTGGAACGTATCGGTGTCTTCAAACGCCCCGAGGAGTTGGGAATCACAGTCGAGTATTTGAATCCGTCCTTTCTTGTAAAGAAACCGAATGGTACTTTTCGACTAGTCACAGCCTTTGCAGATGTTGGTAGATATAGCAAACCTCAACCGTCATTGATGCCTGACGTCGATTCAGGCAAATTGCGCATTGGAAGTATATAATTATTACTGACTTGACTAAATCCTTTTACCAAATTCCACTGTCAAAAGACTCCATGAAGTACTGTGGTGTATCAACTCCGTTCCGTGGCGTAAGAGCTTATGTACGTTCAGCACTGGGAATGCCTGGTTCTGAGACAGCTCTTGAAGAACTCACGTGTAGAGTGTTAGGACACCTAGTTCAAGATGGTACTGTTGCTAAAATCGCAGATGATCTGTATTGTGGCGGAAATACACCAGAGGAGTTGCTCACAAATTTCGAACGTGTATTGGAAGCGCTTCATTCATGCAGCCTCAATTTATCAGCTACTAAGACTATTATCGCACCTAAACAAGCATCAATTCTCGGCTGGTTATGGGGACAGGGGAGTATCCGTGCAAGTCCTCATCGTATTTCAACGCTTTCTACATGCCAACCGCCTAAAACTGTCACTGCTATGCGCTCATTCATAGGCGCATACAAAGTGCTTTCTCGGGTCATTAAAAACACATCAGAAATACTATCTCCTTTAGAAGAAGTCATAGCTGGAGGTGAATCAAATGACTCTATTGTTTGGACTGACGACCTAGTAAGTGCGTTTTCTAATGCTCAAAAGGCCTTATCTTCCAATCGCTCAATAACACTTCCCCGTCCGTCTGATCAACTATGGATTGTAACGGATGTTGTTTCGAAAAGCAGAGGTCTCGGGGCTACTCTTAACATCAATAGGAAGGATAAGCTTCATGTAGCTGGTTTTTTTAGCGCAAAACTCCGTCAGAACCAGAATCGTTGGTTACCATGTGAAATTGGGGCCTTATCAATCGCTGCCTCAATAAAGCACTTCAGTCCCTACATTATCCAATCGTCCACATCTGTTGTGCGTCATATTACTACTGAGGATGTTCTTAATGGAACCGTAAAATGTCCGTTTACAAGTAAATCGGCTTGGTTATCTATTCAATCAGAGTGTGCTGATCTCCGCCGTACTGTTGCGCATCTTCGCCAAGGCACAAGACCTTCGAAGAAGCTTACAAATGTAAAAGATATAAAGCGATACTTAAACATAGCCTCACTCTCTCGAGATGGACTCATTATTGTTAAAAGGAACCTGCCGTATATGCCAAGTCAGGAATGTATTGTGGTTCCCCGACAAGTTCTCGACGGACTTTTGACCTCTATACATATAAAGTTGGGACACCCTTCCGTCAGCCAATTAAAATCCGTCGTACAGAGGTACTTTAATGCTTTGGATATGGACAAATCATTAGACATGGTCACTAAAGGTTGCCATCAGTGTGCATCCCTGGCAAAAGCACAAAAAATGCGGGATGAGCAAAGCTCCGAAGATCCACCGGAAACTGTTGGATTGGCTTTTGCTGCCGATGTAATGAAGCGGGAACGTCAACTCGTTTTAGTAGTTCGAGAATGTGTTACCTCGTTTACATTCACAAAGTTGCTAGAAAGTGAGCGTCATCATGACTTACGGGATGCTATCATACAATTATTGGCAGAGGTTCACCCGCTGGATGGTCCGTACGCTGTGATTAGAACCGATCCAGCTCCAGGTTTCAAAGCATTGGTAGATGACCAGTTGTTAGCACGACACCATATATCAATAGAGTTAGGACGTGCCAAAAATCTCAACAAAAACCCGGTCGCTGAAAAGGCTATACAGGAATTGGAGGGTGAAATTCTTAGAGCAAACTCATCACCTCATCAAATACTAACTCCCATGAATCTCGCGATAGTAACCGCCCGTCTTAACACGCGCATTCGCAAACGAGGCTTATCTTCCAGAGAAATGTGGATGCAAAGAGATCAGTTCTCAAATAGACAAATTCCTGTAGAAGATCAAAAATTAATATCATCTCAACAAATTCAAAGATCGACAAATCATGTACAAAGTGAAAAAGCAAAATGCCCTTCAAATCAAACTCCGGTTACTCCTGATTTAAAAGTAGGCGATATTGTTTATCTTCGAAAAGACCTCAACAAAACAAATGCTCGAGAAAGATACATTGTAGTGACCTTGGAGTTTCCATGGTGTAATATTCGTAAATTTATAGGTAACCAGCTCAGGAACAATTCCTATCGTGTTAAGTGTTCCGATTGCTTCAAAGTAACGACACATTTCAAAGCTTCTACGAAAGAATCCCCGATTGAGTTCGACTCTGACGAAGAGAGCGAAAGGAATAAGCAAGAGTGTGTTGATCTACATCCATTTTACTGGCGAATATTCTGTTTTCTGCTGCATGTGATATTCACATCTTTCATAAACAAAAATGAAACAGTTGATAGTTGTTGCGAATTGAAATGAACATGTGGACTTGTGGGTGTAGAAATGCGTGTGTTTAATAGCCCGTTTACTTAATATTATTATTTAAAGAAGCTGCACCGAGGTAAAAAAGCCTAAAAAAATAAAATTTGAAATTAATTTATAGATCAAGAAAAGCACTTATATTGGAAAAAAATTCACGAGATAATACGAAAAAAATTGATTAGTCCGATTTAAGTACAAAGCTTTACAACGTTTTCCATTTTTAGGTTATTTTGCACAAAACAAAAATGAATATTCAGGAAAAATATGGTGAAGGAATGATCTGAGACAGCTGGTGCATAAATATCGGGAAAATATTTCCAGTTCCGTCATGTCATAAACCCCAGTGGAGTCGTTTATTAACCTGTTTCGATTTGTTTTAAACAAGAAATAATACACTTTTAAACTCAATACAATGTATAATCAATGAAAAATAAACAATTAAATATCATCATATTGTTTTTTGTATGACATCATATTTTTATATTCTAATCATCAATTGATCATAAATCACATGGTTAGGTATTAAACAAGGAAGAAATCACATGATTTATGTATATATCAGGTGTTATCTTCGGTAAAACTGTCGTAATTGTTTATGTTTTATCAGTGACCTAATACTATTTTCGGAAAATCGTTGAAAGATCATTTTTAATGAACTCAAAGGTATAAAAAAGAAGAAGAAATTATTGAAAAGTGATTATTTCTGCACATCCGTAGAAAATGGCAGAGGGTGGTGACAATATTGGGGACGGGGTTGGGGCTGATATAAATGCAGACGATATGGAGAAGGTTAAGAAGGTAAATATTTATATAAATTTAGCTTGTTTCTGAGTTTGTTTCAGCCATTGCTTCTCTTGGTGTCACCAAGTTATTTTTATTATTAACTTGTTAATTTTCTGACACAGTTGTTAGTTTGTGGGTGTAGTATTACATTCAGATCAGTCAACCTTTAATTGGTAAGGTGCTAATTCCTGTAAATCGAAAGTTGATGTATTTATATTTTGATATTCAAACCGAAAGTAGATATTTCAACGGCGACTCTTTAAAGGCCTCAACAAACGGTAGGATTTTGAAGTACAACACCAAGTACAGGCAAATCTTAATGTGTGCAGGCTACTATTTCTTGAATTCGGAAACCTTAAGTCTAGATGTAAGGGATGGGACATGTTCTATTTTGAAAATGTTGTCGTACAGATTTCTACAGGCCTCCCACAATGACAAGTAACAGGTTACCAAATTATCTCCTGATAATGGGTGCAATGAATGAAGTTCCAGAACAATTATGGCTAAAAGGTAAACATAGTAGTAAGATGGGGTAAAAATAAAGTTAAAAAACTCTTCAGGAGACCCAAAGTTGTGGTATGTTCAAATCCCAAGTTGTTTCGAAAATGATTGTCACGGTATTGAACTGTTCTCTAATTAGGGCAGGGGAGGTAGTTTGTAGGAGGCCGAAGAGCTTAGTCAGTAGAGCCGCAGTACGGTATTCCGAGGGTCCCAGGCGTGAGTCTTGGTCAGGCTTCACATTACAGTTTTTTTTTTTAAATGGAGGTGTTTCAATCATTACTCATTGCAAAAAAAGTAAAAAGTATTTGGAGAGTAAAGTATGTACATGATCAATGTAAAGCGATCCAAATTTTTAGGGAAACCTCAGATGATTCCTACAGTGTAGAATTACCGTCTGCATGCAAGTGTCGTATTGCTTTGAAAATTGTACATCTTATCTCTAATTAGTGCTGTACAACTAAATCCTACCGTCTGTTGAGGCCTTAAGACAATCAACGACTCTTTAAGACAATTTTACAGAATCTTTTTATTTAGGTTTATATAATTAAGTTAGTTGTGTTGTAAATGCGGTGTTAAAATGGTTCTGTTTATAATTACATTGATCCATTGGACCATAAAAGGTCGGTCTATATAACAAAATTAAAACTATTGCAGTCTTGGAGGGAGACACAGGCAAAATTTTCATTTCTTAGTTTTGAAATTTTCATTCATTATTCTGTAAATGTCCTTAAAATGAATACACTAAACAGTCAAAGGAACAAAACTTTTCTCCATATAAAGAATAAAATGGTGTTTTCCTAACTTGACCCGCGTGGGTCAGGTTAGAGGGCTAAAATTTCACAATAGTTGTCACTCTGTACTCTGGAAACGTTAAAAAACATGTCAAATCAATTACTTAGACTTGTTTCAATCATACAATATCCACAATATTTGTTATTGTAACTTCCAGGGTTTGTTCAAATCGCATGACTTGTTTTTAAACTATTCGGTGATTCTGTTCCTGTCAAAATTTCGTTCAACATATATAGATATATTTAAACTTCAAACCCAAAATATATAGAATTTATACAGAAATTCATGTTGGGACTTTAAGAAATGTCATTTTAGGGTGATTTGAGTACAGAAAATCATTTTTATATTTTTGCCATTATTTTGCCTGAGTATCCCTTTAAATGACTTTGGTAATTTTTTACTCCCGGCCACCCACCAAACCCCGATAGTATCTAACGGTTTACATAGCAACTGTTTTATTGTTCCATTACTCTTTTTAGCATGTTTAATAACGTATGCTATAAGTTATGCATATAAAGCTATATTCGGCGAGTCTGGCGGAATTTTACTACCAATCGCACTCACTCGACCATTTCCGTCAAAATTCGGACATAATAGTAAAGATAAGGTAGTTCGGTCTATCTAAAACATGTTGTCTAGATCTAAAAGGGCAAAACGTATCGGTGTAAAAGCTTTTGCATTGCAATGCAATGTCATAATACATCTACTTACATTTATTACTACAACATTTATTTGACACAAGTAAAGTTGTGAGGACAAATTTATCTAAGATGTTTTATACTAACAGGTACGCAGGCTACGTGAATTATGGCATGGGCGTTTCACAAACAAGAATATCGCAACATTACTAAGGCACCATGACTGGGATGTGGAGGCCACGAACTTATTTATCTTGGACGGTAAGTTTACAGCTATTCTATATTTTATGCACTGGTATATTCTACAAATGAATCTGTTTTATGTTGTTGTTTTTTTATGAAAAGGTGCGAAACAAGAATCTTTTGACGAAAGTTGAAATAACTAGACAAAAACAAAAGATAACCAACTACCTTTTAAAATGATGAAATAACTAGACAAAAGATAACCAATAACTCGTACACCTTTAAAAACAGGATATATACGTTTAAACTTCATGCTAATTATATATCTAATTAGCACATAATCTATTTGTAGCTTTACCTGGTGAACTTAGAGACGTGCTTGGCGGAGAAGACGTAAGTTATCATAGATTATCAAGGCAAACCACTGTAAAACACTGTATTGTAATTCTCTAAAGAATAGCTATAAACTGTTTTTATTGTATTTTTATCTTTGTTTTTAAAGTATATGTATGATGAGACTGTAATAACAAAAGTAAAGTCTAACTTCCAAAAGATAACTCATAAATACCCTGTAAATACAAACAATCCTACTACAATTGAAACTGAGCGATTGTTAAAAGCAATATTACTTTCTTACGAGATGTTAGACAGTCAACAACATCCCTAGACTGTTAACAGAGAGGCTTAGTTATAATTTTCAAAGTTTATTAGCATTTGAAAAAATATTTGTCGACTTTGAATGTTTTATATATAGGTCATATACCGACTTTTAAGGCAACATAATATGTACTAGACTGAATGCATTTATGAGTGTTAAAGACATTTTGCATAAGTCAATTGAAACTATAGGTTTCCACACACTTGCGGAAAAGCGAGAACTTTAAAATTTCCAAAACATCCGGAAAAGTCATCACCTTAGAAGCACAGTGAGATTATAAAATTCACTCATAGAATTGCACATATCTCCTGCTATTTTTGGCAACCAAAAAAACTTTTCAAAGCGGCCCGACAAAAGAGGGGACAGAAAGGAGGTAAAACACCCCCGCCCCGCTATCCCGGTCGTCGGATACCCAGGTTGATACACATGTTATCACTGATAAATGTTAATGGTTTGCCCGTATGTACCCGACGATGCGCTATCCATAGTACTGTGTCAGGGTGGGGGAGTGGTTACAATTTACTGATACGTTATGATATATTCAAATAATTATCAAATAATGTAGGATAAGTTTACATTCAAATCAACTCATACAAAATTACTTATTCGATCATAGCTAGCACACTCATTAGGGAGACTTGTTGCTCTACGAGGCTAGAATTAAAGCTCAATTATGGGAAGTTGTTCAGAGATATTGCTCTATTAAGGACCACTTTGCAGAGGTTACAGTGTATATCAATATATGTTAATATTGTATAAAACTTTACTGTGTTTCAGTGGCACCTTGTTGAAAATGTTCGTCGAAATGACGTTCTTCGAGATTTAGCGAGACTTAATCGTATAGGTCATGAAGTAAGGCAGTATGGCTGCCAACCTGATGACAATATGTGGTGGAGACGTGTACCGTCTAGAAAACCAGTAAGGAACCTATATTTTTGTATTCGTATAATTTTAAAGTATTTCCATTTACTTGCTTTTTTTCTCTTCATATTTTCAATTTTTTGTTATTATTAGTTTTGTGCCTTGCTTTTTCTTGCAAGCGTAAGCAAGTGCAATAGTGTGTAATATATATATATATGATCAGTAAAAATGTATATCAAATTTCACGAGATTAGAGTTTCCATTAGTTTTACTTTTGATTCCATTTAAGGTTTCACAGTGTAAACGATGTAGACAAAAATATGAGCCGATACCAAGAGACCAGGAATGGGGTTGGGCTAGGTTTGAATGCATATGCGGACATAAATTCAAGTATGTGATACGAAATGTTAACGCGTTATTTCTTTTAATAACCTATTTAATTGTTGTGTTATTCGTTTTCTTTATTAATAAGTAAACTCACATTGGTTTCCCCCTTGTTAAATTTTAATTAGAAATAAGTATTCTGGTTCAAAGCCTGATTTTACACAGTTTTGTTTATTCCACTAAAACATTTTGTATTACGATGACAATGTATCTGCAGTTCTATTTACAAAACCGATTTCCTTTTAAATGATGTAAAATTTGTTAAAAATCAAAATGAAAGAAGTACTCTCTTACAGAAAACATGAATGTATATTTATGTAAGAGTTGCTTTTTGAATAATTGTAGCGCATTTGGAATGATGGATAAAAGTCTATTGGGGGCCCGATACGCTGGGAAAAGTCAAAGTTTATGTTACACCTGCATGTCCCAACTATGTGAGCCAATTCAGATTCTTCCGCCGGCGAGACGTCGTCGAGACGGAGATGGTGACATGGGAGATGGACGTAATGGCAGACGTAGACCTCGCAGATACACTCATAGATGTACTGCACAAAACTGTTTTAACAGATACGTCCCCGATCCAAGAAGTATGATCACAAAGTTACACTATCTCAATCATTTGATTTCATGTACATTACTTATAAAAAGAATAAAGCAATAAAGCAAAGGCACTGTTAACAAGTTTTGAAAACGATTACAAAAGATCGATTTCATCTCATTGCACATGTCTTGTCACCGAATTCAATTAATTAACTGTTATACGACAGATTGGAGTGAGTATAAAAACACAAAGAAAAATAAAAAGAGTATATCTTTAAAGAATGTTCAACTATTATTAATACAGTAAACATATTGTTATAATGGAAAGTTTAATGACACTACTAAACAATCGTACATATTTTTGTTATTTACCTACAGGTAATGAACCGCTCGTGCAGATCTGCGTCCATCCCAATTCTTTGGAGAACAAAGTGCACGGGTTTGGCAGTAATCGTCACGTCAGTACAGGATCTACAGTGAGAACATTTCTGTCACAAGATGACCTTGAATCCTCGTACGAGCCAAGTCTTGCTGATATAGACGAGATAGATGAAGAAAACAGGGATAATGACTGAACCTGTTATATGTCTTTTTAATGTTACAATTTTACAGTTAAAGTATGAAATTCAGGTGCCTGCACCAAATATAAATAATCTTTGTCCCGTCTGCTTTCTGTTTGTAAGATATCAACCTTTACCACCAATGTCTCGTCTAACGGTAAAACCCTAATATTTGTTTGTAGTATTGAATTATTATTATGATTTTAATCAAAAAATGAACATGAAACCTTCAATATTTAATTTTCAGAATGCAGGAAACATCGCCATACAATATCTTATAAATGTAAATTTGTTTTATTTTATAATACAAAAATACCACTTGCCAATGGGTACGATACTTTACAGAAACAAATGTGACGTCGGTCTTTAAATGGCATTGACCGACAATGTCTAATGTTTAAAAGTTTGGATATTTGCATCAATATTTTGTTTTATATCCTAGTAAAATGATTTTTCTGTTCACTTTTTTGAAGGATGCTAGGCATTTGTGTTTTATGAACAAATCGTCTCTCTGCCGTTGTTTTGGTAAACATAACACGTATCTAATATATACATGTATATTGAAATCCACTATTCTTACTGATAACTGCTACATTGTCTATGTACAATGTATTATTTATTAGGTAGTGCCTATTAGGAAGCTCCTTTCTGCAAAATCGTTTTAAATATTTACTGTACACATATTTTAAATCAAGTTGTCAGCAATACCAATTTGTTTGTCTCGTCACTTTCAATTACTTACTCAAACTTCAAATTTGATAGAGGTGGGGGTCATATACTTTCAAGTTTGATAGGGGTGGGGTCATAATGGTTTAACAAGGAACGACTAGCATTAACATGTAGCAATATCATTCGCTGAAGATAATCATTACTGCTTTATAGAATTCATTATAATTTATTGAGACTTGTATATTCTATCTATTTTTCTAGATCTTTATATAAATCTATGCATAATTATGTGAATCTGTGCTCAAATGTTTACTTGATTGTTTTTTTTTTTGTTATCTATAGAATGAATTATAATATTATTTGTGATTAGAGTTTTTTTTTATATTTTTGTTAACTGCTATGAATGATAGATTGTTCTGTGTGTTCTGCACATGTATATGTAACACATCAAATACAAGTATAATTATGTGTGTCATATTTATTAGCATGAATGTTTATAGTTATTATTCAGGTTAGGTAATCTCTGGTCAATATGAAATCCAATAATACATATCAAGATTTTATTTACGTTCATTTCATGTCTTGTCTTCGGACACATTTTCTCCTGTGAAATTATTAACATTCCATTCTGAGAGAATGCTGTAGCTATAAAATGTATGTGTCTGCGTGAGCTTTTTGTGTGTTAAATTGCTTAATTACACGACAACGGTAATAAACTTACCAAATGTTTATGAATAAAATTCATTCAAACAGTTGCTTTTCGCTTTTTATTATTTGTTCCTTATAGAAACTTGTCAAAGAAACATTGTCTACAGTCTGTTATAGATGTATTTGACAGAACAAGAAACAACGGGGACATGTGTGCAAGTTCTGTTTTGCACTTGCAAAGATGTGGTTTTTTGTAAAGATGTATGGAATTCCTGTATTTCTTCTTGCAAATATTAAATATGTTGAAAATAAGCGATAAGAAAGTGGTAAATAAGTTTGATAAGAATATTTTTCGAAATCCAAATTCCGAGGTCGCATGGCCTGTGAGGATATACAGGGCATTATATGGCAAGAAAGTGTGCAAAAATACTCATATACAAACAAAATTAAAACAACAACAGAGAAGGTTTGCGATCAGTTGTATGTTGAGGTATCTTGTTATTATTAATAAAGCTGTAAAGTATATTTTATTTCAATTTTGTCTTCAAAATAACATTTACAAATAAAAAATCTTATCATTTTAGGCTTAAAGTTTTTATTTAAAATAAATATTGAAAAGTTTAAATTAAATCCAATCATTATTAGATAATGTTACTTGAACAAGACAATAAAATGTGAACAGTGTAACCCATAATTTACGCCATTAATCTGCATCATAGAAGTCAAAATTACACAAGTATATTTAAAGAGGACATCAGCAATGTTTTTTTTATAATAGATACAAAACTTATATGACACGGCAATGGAAGATGTCTGTAACAAAACTATCTGAAATATGTACCTCTGGTATATAGTGTGGTTCATCGAGTAGGCTATTATGTATGCTATAATAATTATAATATTGCTGAAACCAAATAAAAATCTAAAATTTTACGGAAGTATATATAGAGAAAAGAGTTGAGTAGGGAAGATTTTGTTATGTTGAAATGATAGCCGCGTTGATGGCATCAGTAAATATATATTTAAATATAGAACGAAAACAGACCGCTTTGCTTCATGTCATGTAATGCCCCTAAAAACTACAATTGTGAACAGCTAGAACTAGGTAAGACCTGTATTTTCAATATAAAATGTTCAACATTTATGCACAATAACTGCATACACATTTAACCATTATACAGAATTCATGTTGATCAGTCCTACATAATGCTTAATGTTTGTATATATATTGAAACAATAACAGAATAATTAAATACAATTTATTTAAAAAACATTCATTAAGGATAATCAGTCGTGTATTTATAATTAATCATTTATTAACCTATATATTTATAATTAATGAAACTTGCCTATAATTTGAAGTAATGCAATACGCTAATTCTCAATAAAACACAGCATTTGATGTTCCACTGGGTAGCTCTTATACGAAGGTTTTTCTTGAGGTCAAAATGTCGTTATAAAGGTGGCTGCCACTTTGCCTTAGAGGGACACTCTCAGTTGTATATTTCTATCTGTTATTTTTCTTTTACAAGTACCATTAATGCCCTAAAATGTAACATACGTAATTATATGTAATTTTCAACTTTGAAATTTTGTTTCAGAAAAATAAGTTCCAGAATAAACGAAACATGTGCAATTAGTCATTGCTGTGTGTATATGGACTTTGATTATTGGTAAAATTTATATTTGACTGTTAAAATCTCATTAATAATGAATGATCAAATGTCGCCAAATGCATATAAATAAATAGTGACAACCCTAAAACAATAAGAAGTGAAACCGAAATTACATAATTGAATCGATGCATGCTTAATAATACAGCATATACAATGTATATAATTATAAGTAAAAATAAGCTTGCCGCCTCTCAAATATCATTCTATTTTCGGAAATTTTCATTTTTATATTAACCACAAATTATGGTCTTGCGTCATTTTTTAACCCACTTTCAATGTAAAAATGAAATATACGTTACAGAAACATACGTTATCAACTTTTTAAAGTAAGTTTATCAAAAGGGAAATTGAAGTCAGAAAGCACGTATAACAGCAACATTAACTTCTATTTGACATTAGTAAGTAAATTTTGTTAACTTTGGTCGAGTTTTAACTTGTTTAAGTAACCACAATGAAACAAACGTTACTTTTATCAAAAAGACTTTATATTGCTTACACATGCATATATAAAAACATAAAATCGCATTTTTATGACAATAGAATGATGTACATTTGATTCCTAAATAAAAAAAGTCGATTTTACATGTAAGTTTCAATTCCGTGATAAAGTTCATAAATAAGCGTGTTTGAAACATACGTTACTCCAACTTACAATTCAATAATTTTTGAAAATTAAAGATAAAGTTGGGATTAGCATGCCAGTTAGTAACGGTTACTTTGTATTAGATGTAAGAAGATACAATATTGTTTTTACAAAGGAAAGATATGTTAATAATATGTTGATGTACCAGCAGAAATGTTAAAAATATATTACAAGATATTGATGTTCTCAGCAACAACTAATTCGTTTCTGCAAAGAGCTTACTGGCCGTATTTCATTCTATATATAATAATGTTAGAATTATATCCATAAATATAAATTATTTTACAAAAAATAAAATTGTTTTCTCAGCCTTTACTTGCATTTGAATAAAATGAAACATACGCGACATCCTATATGGGGATAAATATAACAACAACAACAACAATACATTTTATTGATTTGACCAGTTACAGATCATCATCATACAAATTCCATTGACATACATGTATACGTGAAAGTAGAAGTGTAAAATAAAAAAATATATATATAAAAAGAAAAAGAAATATTGATTATTATCGCTCCACGAGTGTTAAATGGAGGTTGAACATTGTATATATAAATTCCTGCCATCGTACAGTACATACAGAATTGCAATAATATCATATATTTAATTAAGTTTGCTTTTTAGTTAAGTTGTATAGTTAAAGAGTTTACAATAGATTGTTATAATTCTGCAAGAATATATTGAAATACAAAAACGAAAATATATTTAACAAAAACTTAGTAAAATATACTGCATTGTATCACCAATTAACTAGAGTCTTGCGCAATGCAAAAGCTTCATATATAAATTTACCAAGATTTAGCAGTGTATGCCTATTAGAAGATTGCATCAATTTAACAAACTTATGAACACTTGGTCTATTATAAAAATATGGTTTAATGAAACGTTTTCTAAAGTGTAAATAAATCGGACATATTAACACAAAATGGTATTCGTCCTCTACATCATTTTTATCACATAATAGACATAAACGCTGGTTTCTATCCACACGATTTCTGCCATGCCTACCAACTTCAATATTCAGCTGATGAGACGAAAGGCGTAATCGAGATAGAACAGTTCTAAACTTACTAGGAAGAATATCCAAATACATTTCAAAATCGACTGATCTTTTAAACTCTTTATATAAAAACAAAGAGCCGCTCAATGCAATTTGGTTACACCAAGATTGTTTAAAAATATCAAGCACCCTTTCTTTAAACAATAGATGAAATGTTTTAAGATTTACACAATCTGGATTGTGAAACACATGTGAAAACCCATGACTGTCTAGTAACTTTTTAACATTTACAAGCCAATTAGTTTTACATTTATTTAGTTGATTCACCATGTCTGCATAAATGTAATTTGAAATAATGTTTTTACTTTGCACAAGATTGCACCAAAACTTAATAATACGACAATACCGATTGACAAAAAGTGGATAGCGTCCTAGTTCGCTATAAATAGCTAGTTTACTAGTGGATGTCTTCACATTTAAGACACGCCTACAAATATTGAGATGGACTTTCTCAATATTATAAAAAGTACCATAGCCCCAAACTTCGCAAGCATAGTTAAGGATCGATCCTACAAAAGCGTCAAACAGTTGACATTGAATTGAAGGCGCGATAGTAAATTCTTTAAATTAATCAGCAGTACATTTAAAGCCTTTAAGCCTTTACCAATTAGTGTATCTTGGTTTACTTTAAAAGAGCCGTTGTAAGAAAACACAGTGCCAAGGTAATTAAAATTATCGACAACTTCAAGAGAGGAGTTCGCGTAATGCCAGTGCTCGTCAGGTCTTATATTACCTCGCTTACGGAAAACCACAACCTTAGTTTTTTCAGTATTGACAATAAGACCCCAGCGATCACAATATAATTTTAACAAGTCAAGCTTGCATTGAAGATCAACGGGAGTATTACCAAAAAGCACCAATATAGAACTGTTTAGCAATAAATTTTTCAAATATTAAGAAAGTGGAAAGTTGAATGTTTTGAAAAGAAATTGCTAATACAACATTTGTGTATGCATTCGACCTCTCATATATTATATATGATATATATCCTTTGAATGAAGACATAAAATAATCATTTCCAAAATTGACTATTTTTGCTTTCTACGAATATTTAACTTTGAAGAAATTAACTGAAAATTAGCAAGGTACCCAACTTCCTTGAATTTTCTTGGGTTAGAAAGTCCCTCTAGATAGAGAATTTACAGATTTTGATATATTTTACAGACATTTGTTATTAATATGCAGCCAGTATGTTACATTATTAGATCTGAAATCTACGTTACCGAAGAAATACAGTGTCATTACCGAAATAAATGCCATCCAGTTATATTATAGTTTCTTGTTCAAAATATTTCTGGCAAACTTGCAAAATACCCTAAACTTTTACTTCAGCGATAGAAAATGACACAATGACAACATCAAATTTTTAATATTTTTCAACCTCAAATGCTTTATTTTATTGAGAATGGGCGAATATCGTGCACTTACAACTGCAGATATGAAATATGTACGTTATTATGATGGGTGTTGAACAAGTATCTGTTCTGTTCTGTTCTGTTCTATAAAACGATTTGAAAGGTGGAATCATTAGCTCCTTAATATAGATATTTCATACAATAATTACACTGTCAATTCAACACTTATTTTATTTTCAAGTATTTTTTTTATTTTGCCTTGTCCTAGATAACTGCATTATTGATTTCCCACTATAGCAATCCATTGTCAACCACAAATCAATCTATAGATTTATGAAATGAAATAAAAAAAAAATGCAATGCA